GGCGATGGCCGGTGACTGGCCACAGGCAAGGGACAAGCTTGCCAAATCGGTGAGGTTGAGCCTCACTGGCCGTCGTCGTGGCCAGCCATGAGCCAAGGAAGAAGAAAAAGAAAAGAAAAAAGTAAAACAAAGAAAAAAGAAAAAATAGTTAAAAATTCTTTTTAAAAAAATATTTTTATAGGAATGAATATTTCATTAACTAAAGACCCAAGCTCGAGCATTGAGGACCCACGCACAACCTTTGTGAACCCGAACCTAAGTGCCAAGGACCAGAGCTCAAGCGTCGAGGACCCGAGCACTGCCTTTATGAACCGGGCTTGGACGCCCGGGGTATTAGGCACGAACACTAGGACTTCAGGCCCAGCCTTGATGGACCTGTGCCCAAGTGCTGGAGACCTGGTCCGAAACATCCGGACCTGAGTATCAATGTTGGGGTTTTTGTGCCCAAGCGTAGAGTTTCGGATCTAAGCGTCCATACCTAGTCATATTTTGGAAAATGTTTTCCGGATGTTTAAAGAGGAAATTATTTTCCTAAATTTAAGTATAAGTTTTCCATTGACTGAGAAATATTTTTCGTTAACTCATTTTCCTAAGCGAACCAAACGCCGGAAAATGATAAAAGTGTTTTCCACGAAAGAAAGGGAGCCTAAAAGGAAAATGTAGTAGGATATGGAACTGACCGTCAATAACTTCAGCCTCATACTTGACAGTAGACAAGTCGATCTCTTCGGCTGGTAACATTACCCGCTTCTTGCCCATGTCAAAGTAATTCTTCCAGGAAAAAAAGGGAAAGACCAAACGACTCAAAAATGTCAGTAACCACCGGATCTTGTGTTAGTCATAGGAACATAGGATCAATCATAGCTTCATACTCTATGAATCTGTCAAATGAACAAACAAATTAAGACATGAATTCTCGACCAGACAACCAACTTGCAAACTAGTAACCGCGGAGAAGACGGCCAAATTGAAGCTAACAGCGGACTCGAAGTGCTCGTCAGTGAAACAAGCAAATGATCAAACACCCATCACCCACAAGTTCGCGATTAGTTCACCAGCAAGGCAGACATCCCTCGCAGACCAAAATCACGCACGACCGTAGTGCTCGCCTCACGTACCTTGAAAGAAGAAATCACTCGAAGAAACAGAGAAATCCCGGGTCCTCTGTTTCTCTCGCCAGATGTGGAAAGAGATTTGGAAATTCCACAACGAGCAAGTCTGGTGTAGAAATGGACGAGGTCAGAGAGAGAGAGAGAGAGACGATGCCGAGTCTTGCGAAAGCGATGGCGTTAGGCGTTGGCTATCGATCACCGTATTAAAATTCTTGTTTAGGGGGCGGCCTTCGCTTCACGTCCAAACAAAAAGAGGGACTGCAGCTGTGAAGTCATTGTAAAAATCACCCGCTGAAGCAAGAATTTGCGCAGTCTCGTTCCGCGGGTTCAACGTGCGTTGACTTTAAGCGCTCCGGATGGTAAATAGAGAAAAGACAGGTTACAGCATCACGAACCATTAACCCCCGTTGACCTGAGAGTGATATCTCCAATTAAACTCGATGCCCGAACGAAATGATCGACAAGCGCACTTGTTTTTGTCAAAAATTAAACGATTCGACGAGCCCCATGAATCATCATGTTTGCCTCTGTTTGGCAAGCGAAATGAAGTACCGAGGTCTAGGCTCCATTATCAAAGTCCCACGGTGAACACTAATAGCACGAGGATCGAGCAGCTATTCCCATTGTAAAGACATACATTCGGCTTTACCGAGGTCTCCTGAATTTTTAGGGTCTAAGTACACCTCGATCCCGCCTCTTTATTATCATTATGCTCATCACATTAAGCAGTGATAAGCTCGTAATCATGGAGCATATGTCTGATCTAAGCGCTGGCAGCTGCCTCCGAGGATCACCCTAAGAGGCTCGCCGTACTCTTTTCTTGTATTTTCCAACTACCGGTCTGGGATGGTTCGGGCAGTACCCGGTGAAGCCATCTTGCTCATGGACCGCCTCCAACCTCTAGAATGACGAATTGCTTGGTGAGGATACTGAAATTGTTCTGTTGCAATGCAATATCCTTAACTGATAATACTACTCAAGTTTTAGTAAAGAAGAAGATTAAAGAAAAACAGAGAGACAAGACAAGATTGTAGTTCTGAGTTAGGTGAGAAGAGGGCCATGCTCATCTAGTCATGAGCGTTTACTGCAAATTCATGGCTCATCTACCTACGCTCAGCAAGTGCCACCCGGATGAACCAAAGCAGGACATCCAAAAGATTCAGTTTTTTTTCCTAGTAATTTCTCATTTAAGTTTGGGAAAAATCTGTTGTGTTCTGTCCATCAAAGTTTACTTTCGATCTCACTTTCTCCGGAAACTATTGAGTGCTTGGAAAATGGAGAGTATACTCCGATTTTTCTCGTGATATTGAGCCATTCGAAAGTAGGGAGTATGCCCTCGAAGTGACTTGCTTAATCTACTTCATTTGTTCTTAGTTTACTGCATTCGTTGAACTCGTCATGGAGTGTGACCTTTCGCTTTTGACCTCCGTGCGCTTCCCTCCATCCATCCTGAATTGTTCAGGAATCGCTGTTCGAAGGATATTGAGTGCTAGTCCTGATGTCCATGTCTTCTTTACATATAGATATCCTCCGATCATGTTAATACATGTGGTTATAGCCCATACAACGGATCGATGTTTTAATAACTCAAATGTAAATGTAAGCGATACCCAAATCTCGTATCATCTTATAACACAACTAAACAAGTCAAGATGTATCCTAAGTCCATTTTGGATATGCTTTTTAGTTTAAATATGTCCCATTTCTAATGTTGCCTTTATGTCTCATTAATCTCCCCAAAAGATTAATGCGAATTTTGATATCCGATTTAATTTGCCGCAAATATTCTTGGTATGAATTGCGCAAAAGCATATCTGGCCAAGAAAACTAATTGTTTTCATTTGATCAGTTTCTTTCAGGCGCGGCCCGGTAAGAGTTAAATTATTAATTATAGAGAACACGTTCAATTTTCACGCAATGAACTTTACACAATACGTCAAAAGGTCAAAAGGTCAAGCGTAATTTAGCTTCCGGTATCAAGGGCAACTTCTTGTTAAGATGATTGTTTATTAAAGAAAAGCACCGCTCTCTACCGGGAAAATTGTCGAAAAAGTCTTAAATCTATTACACTTTTACTAATTCGTTCCTAAATCTTTTAATTGTGCCAATTAAATCATAACTAAGTGCAATAGCTTTCGATATCAAGGCTAACTTCTTGGTAAGATGATTATCTAATAAAGAAAAGCACTGCTCTCTATGGAGATATGGATATGGTTGCATTCAATCGAAAGATCCACATCTCTAATTAAAGCTATTCTACTTAGAAAATCGATTCTCATAAAACTTGAGAGCAAGACAGCATTATTAATTTGTTTTTCAAATATTTATTCATTATTATAACTCCGGAAAAAATTAAAGTAAATACAGCAGTTATACTATAAAAAGGGAAATGGAAAAGGAGAAACAAGACAAACGAGCATTTATTTAGCAATTAAAAACTACAAAAATAATTTGTTCCACACTGTAGCAATCACATATGTATTGCCATCAAGCTTAGAACTTAGTTTATGTTTGAGGAATCTCGTATTAATATGATGCCTCGAAGCAAATTGTTTCTTCAATACACATATGTACTGCCATCAAACTTAAATTTTAGTTTCAGTTTGAGGAATCCTGTATTAATATGATTCCTCAGAGCAAATTGTTTTTTCAATATAGTACCCTAGACAGTGGACACGCAGGTCATTTTTCAAAGCATAACACATAATAAGGAAAATTTGATGTTATTATATTGTTCTCGAAACATTATATTAGACGAAACGAGATGGTTAAATTTCTTTTAGTTAATACAAAGGAACATGTTTAATTAAGTTAAGAGAAGCGAGAGGTAATGGAGCACCGAGATGATGTGACTATACCACGGAATTCCATTCTACCACACTTTACAATTATTTATAGATACATGTACGAGAAATTCGTAAACAATATAGTAAGCGAAAAGGAGCGAAGAATGAATCATGTGGGGAAAGAATAAAGTGCCATCGCATGTGGGTCCAGGGAAAATAGCGTGACCCTTTGGGAACAAGGCTTAGAACTTCTACGAGAAGGTCCAAAAAGTTTTTTTATTTATATTTTCCATATTAGGACACGAATGGTCTAGTCTCAATCATTAAAGTGTGCAACATTGTTTTTCCCCATCAATATTAATGAAATAAGACCACAGGATAAGATTCCTTGTTTGATGGAACAAGAGCATCCACATAAAATTCCAAAAACTTCCATATATCATTCATGCATGCATGTTAGGATGTGTGAACTTGGATGGTGTCCCCATTGGATTAATCCCTACTCTTTTTTTCTTTTTTTGGTCGATTAATCCCTACTCCAAAGGGTTTACAAACTTGGTGAATATATAGCAGTTACTATTGATAGTTACTATTCTTGATTATCTGCGATTATTAGAGACAAATCACAGAATCTTACAGTAAAATCTGCTTATATTATAAAAAAAAATGATCAACTAGTGGTAAAGACTTGATGGCAAGTACAAAAAACCTAGTTTTGATTTATGGGTTAAGAAAAAGATTTCATGAATGCCGAGAGAGAGAGAGAGAGAGAGGCTGATTGGACTATGGCATGTCGTATGAACGTTCTTGATCATGCAGATGGGCTCCAGCAATCAACTTCTTCAAGTTTGCTAAAAAATATTCAAACATAGGACGAGGGGTCCATTCATTTTGCACTTCTAAAGCAAGCGAGACAACTCACTTGGGAAGGAAGGCGAACATAAAAAAGAAAAAGAAAAAGGCATACAAAGTAATATCAGTCAATGAGTCAACGCACGTTTCCACCCTATAAATTCCGCGCACTTGGCCAATGTTAATCCTACCGCTCTCCAAACCCACACAGAGAATCTTAGTCCTTCGGTCTTGTTCTTCTTCTCTCTGCTTGCATGAGTTTGGGGATCCAAATGGCAGACACACTCTCAGAAGTCATGAGCTCACTCCCTCCAGGATTCAGATTCCATGCCTATGATGAGGAGCTTCTGCTTCTTTACTTGAAGCCCAAGATTCTTGGACAACCGGATGAACACTACTCCAACATAATTCCGGAGATCGATGTATGTGAATTGGAACCCTGGCAATTGCCGGACATGTTCGATCACATGTTCAACAGGAAGGAGATGTTTTTCTATTGCCGCGTGAAGCGCAAGTACTTGAACAGCAGGCGCTCCGACCGCACGACTGGAGCCGGTTACTGGAAAGTGACCGGCAAGGAACGTCCCATCATGAGTGAGGACACCAACGAGCAGATAGGAATCAAGAAGACGTTGGTGTTCTACGAAGGCCGCGTGCCTAAAGGCAAAAGGACCAACTGGGTCATGCACGAGTATCACCTAAATTCCAAGTGTTTGGGCATTAATCACAACGAAGGCGAGGTAACATTTTGGCTCTCATTCATTTGCACAACATGATTGGTTATAAATAACATTTGAGACATGCTTTTTAGTAACGGGTTGTTTAGCTATTACTGATGTTGCTCATGCATATATATGCAGATGCTGCCTTATGTGGCATGTCGGATCAAGAACAAGAAAGACAAGAAACCGATGATGGGTCACACTCCAACAATCATCCCTGAAGGCTATTCAAGCAGCCCTTACACATGCACTAGCAATGTATCAGATCCCCCTGGGAATCAAGAAGGGGACTTGCCGAGCTTCTGCAACACCCCCAACAATGAAGTTGCTGATCACCAAGGAGGTGCTGATGCTCAACCCGAGGTGAGAGACACATGCTTTATGTTGTAGAACTTATTTAGGATCGGATTTAGTCCCAAGTCCTATAGAGCATATCGAAGTCACAGACACTCATTGGTTTTCTATGGCCAAATTAATAATGATTGCACTATCACAAATAACAACATCTGTGGGACTACTTTCATTTCATACTTTAGTATTGTTTCTGTAACAAAAAAAGGAAATATACTTGAGATGAGTTGTTTTATATAATCTACATTTTTTGAATGCAGATGTCACTGGGAGAGATAATGGATTCGCTGTCTCCATTTCAGCCACTGGATGTCCCTTCATCAGACTACAACAACACTCCAACCTATCAGCCACTGGCAGGAGTAGAGGAAGGATTGTCGACCTTCTTTGATTTTTCATATGACAACAACGGCAATGAGTTCGACTATGGATACATGCTATCTCCATGCAGCAACTCAGCAAATTGTTCCGGTTGGGCTGTAGCGATGTGTGAAGACTTCTCTACTACAACGTACTTCAATGGTGGATCATGATATGGAAGGAGTGTGCGTGAGCGTGAGAGTTTTTTTTACTCCTGATGTATCAAGTATTGTGAGGGTGGCTTTTGGAGTGAAGTGAAACACATGTAGTTTCATAATTTGTGCGTGTCTTGGTTTTAGAGTCGTGCGTTTTCTTTTATTCAAGGTCGTGTTTTCTGCTAATTGAGATGTAATACTTTAATAAATAGTGTAATGTTATTCCGGGTATTTCCCTAATTCTTATCCTCGTTGATGATGATCCCAAATTGGAGGAGGTGATGTTGGACTATCAAATGATTGATGTAATTGGCAGAACGATTTGTGGAATCTGTAGGTGGCAGTGTGACAGGTCGGATCAATCAGAAAAGGCCAAGAAAGAAAGAAAGTGCAATCTTTTGACTTTGGTAGGATAGAAAGTTAACTTTCTCCAAGCCTTCCAAAAAAAGGCCTTGAACTTGCGCAGCAAGTGTGAACATTTGGACTTTGGTAGGGTAGAATCTTACTCCAAGACTTCCAAAGGAAGGCCTTTGAAACTTCCTCAACAAGTGTAGATATTTCGCACATGTAAAGTCCAATGACGTATTGAAATTTCCCGCAATTAGTAATGGATGTGTCCATGCCAAGGCGGCATGTGAAGGCCTAGCACTTTTTTTGTGTCCGTGCCAGGCACAATCCGTGATAATGAATGGCCGTGTCAGCCCTTGTTGTGACATTTTAAGTTTTTATACTTCTTCATAAATATAAAAATTGAATTAATTAATGGAAAAACAAAGAAAATGTCGATAGTAATAAATTATTCCTACGTCATGGTTTTTTTTTTCATTGGAAGTCCACAGGTAGGGATAATTATGCCAAAAAAAAAAACATACAGAAGACAATACATTAAATTCAGACTTTAACAAATATATCTAATAAAAAAAATTACAACCCAATAACTTAAAACTCCGTACTAAACAAATGCAAACGAATGCACCTACATAACACTAAAGACTCAGATGAATACATAGTACGAATATTTAATGGCCCCCTGCAGTAAAGGCGGCGGAGCTCCCCCGGGCTTGACCATTTTCGGCGAGATGTTTGTCTTGGCGCCTTTTCAAGTAGCACATCTCGTCACTAGATTTCAAGGATAATTTTGCCGCACATTCCATACAGATGGCTTCTTCTCGTCTTTGGGAAGGTTCACGATATTGAACATCTTCCGAACATTGGACTCTTGCCAAAGAAAATTCTTTGGGGTTGGTAAGCCATATGGGAAATGGGTTTTGGTCCTGCTGCTGATTTTCTTCCATAGCGAATTTGAAGACCGGATATATCGCATATAGAAATCGGGATTTTTTGAGAAGTTATAAGAGAGCGATAAGTCAGGAGAAATTGATGAATGAAAATGAAAGGAGGAGTTTAATTGTGTGGCCAAATGGTCATGTATAACGTGACCGTCTAGCCATAATTTTTTTTTTAACAGTGACCCAACGTTCATTGGGTCATTATTCTTAAAAAAGAAAAATTAAGTCGTCCCTGGACCAGCCCATTCGGCCCAAGGGTCTAGGCCGACCCAGTTACACTTGGGCTAGACCTTGGACCTAAATAGAGGGGCCGTGTCATACTTGGGTCCCAACTACCCGGTGACGGGAAAAGTGCCAAAAAAGTTGTAAATCTATTGCATTGATACAAATTTAGTCCTAAATTTTTCAATTGGATCAATTTAATCTCAAATATTTTTACATTGATACCAATTAAGTCCATCCGGCTAATGTAGGCCAAAATTTCCTATGTGGCCATCGACGGTTCTACGTGGTACGGCTGGCGCTGATGTGGGTTTTTTTTTGTAATTATTTTTTATTTTTTCCGAAATTTTTAATTTTTATTAGTTTTTTTGTTTTCTTATTTCTTTTCTTCTCTTTTCTTTCCTTTCTTTTACTTTTCACTTTGGTTGGCGAGGATCGCCGAGCTCGCCGGTCACTTGGACAAGAGTCGTCGGAGCTTGCCGACCAGTAGGCGAGGGCCACGAAGCCATCGTAGGAGGGCTTTCTTGTTTTGGCTGGCTCTTGAGCGGAGGAGATGGAGTGGGGAGCTGCATATACCACACAGCAAAGCGTAAAAGAGGAAGAAGCTAGCATATTTTACCTAATTAGGTTTCAACCCAACAAGTGAAAATTTGTACACTGCAGCAAGTCTCTTTTCTGCCATTTTTGTTAATCAAATCCAATATACTTAAAATTCTTAAATACATTATTTTATCTGTGGATAGTCGCAAGATGATCACAAATTTTGATTTTTGAGTTAACTTGGACAGCTATAGCTCAAGCTGAACTTACGTGTAAAATTATTACAAGAACTAGCTTTAAGTAACATGAAAAATGATAGCAGAAAAGTTTAAAGTATATAATTTTGATATTTTATAGATTTGGACTTCTATTAGTTTTAAATCGGGCAAGACATTACAATTAACAAATTTGAGGGGTGAATAAATATGACTCTACTTGATCTTTTTTCTAGATAAAGTTTGTCATTTTTTTTTAATTTGGCCTTAATTAGAGTTATTAGAAATAGACCATATTGAAGTGATTTTTCCGTCAATTGTCCATGTGTAGATGACTTATTTTGTACCGAATTGAGTAATTAAATTTGTATTCTGTTACGTGAAAATCACGTTAGATATCATTTCAGTTGTAATAATAAGAAAAAAAATTTAAAGTGTAACATTAAATATTTTCCTTTAGCTGCAATTACTATAAAAGATATAGTCTCGTAAATGAAAAGGATTAGTAATGATGGATGTCGAGCTTTCCTTAGGGATGGAATACCTAGAATGAAAAAGCAAATAGAAATCGGCAAAGCAGTTTGACGGGTTCCCTTGCAATTAGTGTGCTCCCTTTCGCTTCTCATTCTCCTTAATTTAAGTAGATCTAACAGATTCGGTTAGTGTCGCAATTTAAGGGATATATTCATTCGTTCACAGGGGGGAGGAGAAGAGGGACGCTATATTTTTACCTGAGAAACACACCGCCGAGAGTTCCGAGAGGGCGAACTCTGGAAGCTTCTTTTCAGTCGATCGACACCGGTGTCTGAACTAGGTCGGTATGGATTTGTTCTTGTTGTTGATTGACTTAAGTGCATATTAACATAATTCGCGTGCCAGCATCGTGTATTTCTTATTTTCATTTCGACTATCAATAAGCATTATGTGAGTTAATCGAATGCTACATTTGTGATTAGGAGATGGAACGGGAATTATATGACTGGAGAAAGCCAAAATCATGTTTTATTAAGTATTGGAGTTTATGACAGATAATACACGACTTTCTTAAATGGATTGGCTTGTTGTTTGAAATTAGAGGGACCGATGAAGATACCAAGAGATGCAATATACATGCATGACAAGTTCATATTTAAAATTAAAGAAATATCGATTCACGAAAACATTTTTCTATTTCTGTGATATGTTCGTTCAGCTTCGCAAATGGAATACGGTAGTCTTGAGGAATGTTGCTCCGAATGGGCAGTGTTGACTGTATAGCTAGGCACATGGATGGAAGATATGACAGCCCATCCATTGACCGAATGATAAAACTTATCAGCTTTGCAAGAATACCTAAATTTTTTAGAAACCTTATTTATTTTTTTATAGATGTAATAGACAGGACTTAATTGTCTAGATTTGTGCTGCCAGGCTCTGTTTTTGTCGATAACACCCTCTTTCTTTCTTTCCGCTAGATCGTGTGTGGCAAGACTTTTGAAATTTGCACGTTTTCGAAATTTCGATGTTGAGATTATTATGCATGCTTTGTAGAGTACAAGCATTTGGTGAGGCATGCTTTTGGATCAGAGGGAAAAGGAGGGGGATATTGACAATCTAGAAGAGCCGAACCAAGCTCTTATAGTAAAGGAATGTAATAGGAATGATGAGCTTCAAGAAGCTCGCAAAGAATTGATCGAAGTAAGTTTGCTTTTCCCTTCCTCTTTTATAGTGAGAATTTTAAGTTTTGGGCAAGGAATTATGTTCTCTTGTATCATTTGTAATCTTTTTTTCTTTTTTGGTCGGTTTTCTTCTGTCGCTTAATTCAACACAAGTTTCTCTTGCAGTTGTATGCCACCGATTGACTTACATAAGGTGCCAATTGGCTTACTAATTGCAAGGAAGTAAATTTTGAATAAAGTCCATCGCATTTATTATTTCTCGTTGTTCTTATCTTATGACCATATAAATTAAGAAAATAAATTTAAAGAAAAAAGGGAGGAAATTAGTGGTGTACGGCATATTATTTTTTTCAATTTGTTGTATATGGTTATGATTTACATGAAACATTGCGAGGATAAATAAAATTTTCTTGTTTTTTTAATGGCAGACATAAGAGTGATGAGCAAGGCGGTGGCACACATAAAGAAGGACAAGAGGATAAGTGACGTGCAAGTTGAGGTCTTGATGGGGATGCACAACGTGTTCTCGCTCCTCAGGTTGACAATGGTAGGGCGGACCTCCGACTGGATCGGCCGCCGCTACACGATCATGCTGGTAGGGGGCCATTTTCTTCGCTGGACACTCCTCATGGGCTTCACCCCCAACAATGCCTTCTCCCGATTGGACCACTTCATCGCCGACATCGGCGTTGGCTACACTCTCATGATCCCCTGTTTACATCGCTAACGTCTCCCCTGCCTTCTCCCGAACTTCCTCACCTCCTTCTTTGAGATAATTCACTCATTTTCTTTTTTCTTTTTTACTTGTGTAGCATATTTATTTATTTGTCATCAATTCTTTTGTCTTTTTCATGTTTGACTGCATTTTTCGAAAATATTAAAGTTAGAAATGCGATTGCTTTTTTATATGTCGTATAGGCGGTTCAAGTGTTCATCAACGTCTACACCATCCTTGGCTACTTCTCCAACTATGCCTTCTTCAAGCTCCACCGCAACCTCAGGTGGCGTGTTATGCTAGCATGGGAGCAATTTCCTTGGTCCTGCTTGCCACGGATGTCCTTGCCGTGCCAAAATCCCCTCGATAACTCATCACGTAGGGCTCCACCTGGGCGACACGAAGCGCGTCTTTGCCAGGACCTCCGACTCGAAGGAGGAGACCTGGAGTGGCTCTCCAACATCAAGGAGGCTGCTGATATCCTTCAGGAATGCAACGACAACCATGTAAATTGCATTTTGGAATTACCGCTTGTATTTATCATTTTGGGGTCACCCAATGATTCCACGTGTGATGCAATTGCACTTTGCCTTTTGCCTTTTGCCTT